AAAAAAAAAAAAAAAAAAAAAAAAAAAAGAACAAACAATGATATTAGTAATCCTAATGTTTATTTGATAAATCACCTTTCAATCATAAACAAGCTAGCTATCACCTTAAATTATTATTGTCATTATTATTAATCCCAATGTTCATTTGATAAATCACCTTTCAATCATAAACAAGCTAGTTACTACGGTACTACCTTATATTTATGGCGGAATAAGATCATTATTATTCTTTCATATCTTTTCATTTTATTTGTTTGGCTGTAAATTGTAATTACCCCAACTTCAGCAGAAGTTTCTGTAATTATCTAACTGATACTAGATGCAGAGATTGGGAGATGAATACCTAAATACCACAATGTCTAAATGTCTACATACAATAACAAATATGGCATGTGCTTTTATCCTCAAGTCACCCTTAAAGTTTCAGGAAAAAATAAGCAACTTAAGGAGATTAAGGTCCATATAATTTCAAAGAATGTGGATAGTGGGTAAAAATGAACCTTCCACCACAACTGGCACACGTAAAAGCATGTGACTTAAGAGTTTAATGATCTGTGCACTTACTTTTCCAGAATCATAATACTTCACATAGCTATAAAATAGAAGTATGTGGCCACAATCCACACACTATTTGCTAATCAACAAAATGAAGAGGGCAAAGAAACCTTAAATTCCTGAAAAGCTTCCCATGCAGATAGGTCACTTTGTGGAGGCAAGCTCTGCAATACAAACTTGCCGGCATTCCACAGTTTATTGGTGAATGCTTTGTTAGAACTCAGCCTCTCAGTTGACAAATTTAGATCCTGAAACACCAAAAGAACAGACAATCAGTAAGTTATACAACAGATAAGGGGCTGAATGCATCTTATATAACATATTTGTGACTACTGACAACCATGAAATGGCAATATCGTTGGACAATGGCTCCTGTAGGCCAATTTTCATAGATGCAAAGAAGAAATCTAGAGAGTGACAAACCTGACCAGCAGTTCCAAGAGAGAGAGTGAAACGCAGAGCATCAGTGCCATATTCTTTTATCGTATCAAGTGGATCTATAACATTCCCTAGGGTTTTAGACATTTTACGGCCCTGAAAGATTGTAAATTACAAATCTGAAATACTTCAGCTTGGAGAAAGGATTAAATTTGCAACGGAAGTAATAAAATGTGCAAAGTTTATAATAGGACAAGGCAATCATGTCCAACTTCTTAGGTTCAACATTAAACTCAAAAACTAGAAAAATTTAGTGCAGGCACCAAGGCTAGCAGCCTACTGTTTGGAAACGTAGCCTAACACAAAAAAGAAGTACCATGAAAACATTTTAAGTGAACCATAAATAGCTGAGCTTTATATGCTACCTCATTTGAATAGAATTAGATGGATGGGAATTAAGAATTTTACAATGCCAATTGTGAACAAATCAGAGACATTGCTTTTCCATTGACCTCATGACAAGGCAACATAAGATAGATACCATCAAACAAGCAAGCAAAAGAAAGAATGGATAAAAGAAGTAGCAGATATCATTACCGATAGGACACACTAAGTAAAGTACAACTAAAAATTAAGAACCTAAACAGACCAAGATATAGCAAGTTGTGACATGAAAACTTCAGAAAAAAATAAATAAGAGAATATCTAACTGAACATTTTATTTCTCCAAATATCTCTTGCGGCAATATCACCTCGGCCAAATTGACAATTTCCTGAAGAGTCAATCCAATTTACTATTTAGACAAGTGCTCGGTTTCTTAATCTGGAGTCCTTTTCTTATTGATAAATGTTCCGCTGAATTTTTAATCTAAGCTATTTGCAAAAACTTTGATGTTAGTAATTCTATAATATATCTTCAAAGTGTTGTTTGCTCTCGTAAAAATGAATTGCCAAAAATACCCTATACTATTAGACAACATCTAGGGTTATGAAACTTGGATATTAATGTAAGGGAGTGACAACAGATTTAATTTAGTCATTTTATATGATGCATCATATGATATATCCTCTTCTGCTTTATTAATGTAATTTTGATATTCATGTTGAGAGTTACAGTAGGTATTAGTTTCAATACATTTTAGTGATTTTACATTATTTATAAATATATTCTCCATTGTTTAAGTAATGGAGAAAATTGAATATACTCTTAAGCATAAATCCAATAAAAACAGAATTTCGTATCACCAAATAGAATAATTAATGATCATGTGCCCTTTGATATTCATGTAGAGAGTTACAATAGGTATTAATTTCAATACATTTTACATGATTCATAATAAAATATATTCTGCTTTGCTTAAGTAATGGGAAAAACTGAAAACACTCTTAAGTAAAAATCCCATAAAAACAGAATTTCAGTCACAAAAGTTCCAGTGATCTTCCTCTCACAGTTCATCAGTGGTCCTTAATTGCTACAAAACTTCCTCTGATCACAGTCTGATGGTGTTAATCAGTGACCTCTCTCAGCCAAAGTCTAAGGCCAGGTTCATTTTCAACAAGCAGTGGATTACCAAGCAGGGCATTATGGATGTTGTCAAGGAAGCTTGGAGGCCTCAATGCCTTGGCACACCCATGTTCAGATTTCAAGAGAAGATCAAAAAGACCAGAGTGACCCTTCTCAAATGGAGCCAAGCTTTCAAATCTAACAATGCCATCAAAATTGAGAAACTGACAATGCAACTTGAGGACATGAGACAACTTAGTGATGGGAAAAACTGGGAAAGCTGGGAGAAGCTGAAAGTGGAACTTGAGGAGGCTCAGTGTGCTGAAGAGATCTTCAGGAAGCAGAAATCCAGGAATCTTTGGTTGACAGAAGGTGATCAGAACACTAGATTTTTTCATACCTTAACAATGCAGAGGAGAAAATTGAATGCTATCACCAGATTAGTGGTTGAAGGAGGCAGAGTTTGTGATACAAAAGATGATATTGAGACTGAATGTTGCCTCTTCTACAAGAAGCTTTTCTCTTCTGAGGAGTCAAATGATGTGAGAGGCATTCTTCAGCTTATTCCCAGAGTCATATCCTCTGAAATTAATCAGAATCTGTTGGCCTTGGTTGATGAAGATGAAATCAGAGCTGCCTTATTCAGCATGAACCCAGAGAAGGCACCTGGTGTTTCTGGTATGTCCCCCTCTTTTTCCAACATTTTTGGCCTGTAATCAAACATGATCTTTGTGCTGCTGTGGTTAGTTTTTTTGAATCCTCCATGTTACTTAAAAGCTGGAACCACACTATAATCACTCTCATTCCTAAATGCATAAATCCTTCTTCACTGAGTGATTTTAGACCTATTAGTCTTTGTGAGGTCTCTTATAAAATTATTGCTAAAATTCTTGCTTCCAAGATTCAGCCTTACCTGCATTTGTGTGTGAGTGAAAATCAGGCTGCCTACATCCCTGGTAGGCAGTTGCTTGATAACGTAATTATGGCTCAGGAGGTCATTCATTTCTTAAACAGGCATAGAACTGGTAGACAGGGGTATTTAGCAATTAAGCTTGACATGATGAAGGCCTATGATAGGCTTGAATGGAAAGGTCTGATGTCCATTCTTCTTCAGTTTGGCTTTAGCAGAACCTTTGTAGGTTGGGTTATGAAGTGTGTCACCTCTGCTTCTTTTTCTATCAACATAAATGGTGCCTTATGTGGTTATTTTGATGCCTCTAGAGGGATAAGACAAGGGGACCCACTGCCCCTTATCTTTTTATTTTAGCTTCTGAGTTATTCTCCAGACTTATTAAAAGAGAGATTGAATTGGGGACTTTGAAAGGGATTAGAATTGCTAAAGGGGTATCAGACTGACTGTCTCACCTCCTGTTTGCTGACAATTCTCTATTGTTTTGTGGTGCTGACACTAATTCCATCCATGTTGTGCTGAGAATCTTGGATTGCTACCATAAATTTTCTGGCCAAAAGGTCAATTTGTTCAAATCCTCTATCTTTTTTGGTAAGAATGTGCCTGCTAATATGCAAGTTGAGATATGTCAGTTACTGCAAGGAATACAAATCCACAGGTCCTCTAAGTACCTTGGCCTTCCTCTTGGGATTGGTAGATCAAAGAAACAAACTTTTGACTATGTGGTGCAGGCTGTCAGAAACAGGGTAGCCAGCTGGAAGAACAATTTCTTATCTACTGCAGGCAAAGCTGTTTTACTAAACTCTGTGCTATCTCCCTACCAGTTTTCACTATGTCCTGTTTTGTCATGCCTAAAGCTACCTGCAAAGAGATTGCTGCTATCTGTGCTAGGTTCTGGTGGAAAGGTAGTGGAGAACAAGCTGCTGGAGTTCATTGGAAAAAGTGGTCTCTCATCACTCTTCCAAAAATTCTGGGAGGACTTGGTTTCCATGATCTTCAACTCTTTAATGATGCATTAATACTCAAACAGTTATAGAGAGTTGCAACACCCCCTAATCTGCTGGTTAGCAAGTTCTTGAAAGGCAAGTATTTTCCCTCTGGGTGTATTTTCCATGCCACTGCAAATCAAAATGCTTCTTGGCTATGGTACACTTGGATGTCAGATAAAGAGAAATACAAGCACTGTTTCCAGATCAGAATTGGGGATGGTCATACAACTCAGATTTGGAATGATCCCTGGGTTGGCCCTGGTCTGTTAAATAGAGAGTCTAGCTCTATCAGTGTTGATGCAGAAATCAAATGGGTGGTGGATCTGATGGAGGAAGGTGGAAGGAAATGGAACATCCCTTTAATCCAGCAAATCTTCAATGCAGAGGATAGTGCAAAAATTCTGAACATTAAATCCCTTGACCACCACAGAAAAGATAGATGGATCTAGAACAATGAAGCAAGAGAGGATTTCACTGTGGCTAAGGCATATTCAAAGTTGGTGGAGGAGAAATTTAGAATCCTTGATGTTGCTGAAAGCAGTTCATCTGGCCATTCACTAAGGAAGATCAGAAACAGAACTTGGAAACTCAATGTGAAGGGCAAGTTGAAGCATTTCATGTGGAAGTGCTTCTCAGCAGCTCTGCCGGTTAAGGAGGCTCTCAGAAGAAGGGGCCTTTTTGTTGATGCCATTTGTCAATCCTGTGGGGAGAGCACTGAATCCATTGAGCATATTTTCTTTCACTGCAGGAAAGCCAAGGAAGTCTGGAAGCTATCACCTATCACTGGGACATTGCCACAGATGATTCAACAAAATTCAGAACTTGGTGGCAGGATGTGTGCTCAGTGAATAAACTTGAAGTCTCAGAAGCCAGAATAGAGCTAACCACTTACATCTTGTGGTGGCTTTGGAAGGCCAGAAATCTTTGGCTGTTTAGAAAAGAATGGCTGCCAGCTCCTTGCATAGTTAAGCTAGCTAGGAATGATTGGCAAGAATTGGCTATGAGGAAACAACCCAGTCAGTGAGATATGGAAGTGTGCCTAGGTTCTTATGTTCAGTGGGTGCTTCCTTTTCTGCTGGCAGGGTGATGGTCTGTTGCTATGTTTGGTTTTGTCTTTTATTTGCAGCTATATTATTCTCAAGTCATGTGTCTGTTAGTCTGTTTTTTGGTTAGGGACTTATTGCAATGCTATGGATTACAAAGTGTCTTTGGCTTAGCATGTGTTTTTAAGTTCTTTTAGTTGCTTAGTGGCTACCTTGTTGGTTATTTTTAGAGCACCGGGCTGTGGTGTCTCTCTATTATTGGGTCCAGTTGGATCCCGGGTTGTATTCTTGTACATTTCAGTGCTATATAATTCTCTATCGTTTCAGGAAAAAAAA